GATGAAATTAAAATTCATACGTCGTATGAATGTTTTGTAAGTTGTAAATGATATGAAACACAAGGGAGTTGAAGAGCTTAGAATTTCTCACAATCACACCACCATTGACTTAATGAAACTACTTAACTCATCGATTCGATATTGCTGATGATTTGATCAGTCTTGTACGTTAAACTCATAATTATCTCGATTGTATATTTGAACATGACACATTTTGTCCATCTGAAACAAACATATTTTCTACCTTTTTCATGACACCACCATCAATATACAATCAAACACCTTTTGTGACTACTATGCTAGCATGTCTCTTATGCAATATACAAATGAAGTGGATGGTGATGATAGATACGTAAACATTTAATTTCAATCATCAGAGGGTCGTACGTGTGTTATACAAGCATAACAAAGACCTATTTAAAATCAATCATTTAGACCAAGACGATAAATAAAAAAATCACCTTATGAGACAAGATCTCACCATTAATTTTTTTGTGATAGTGCATATACATATAATATTTTAATATAAATATAATGGATTAAATTTAATCATATTTGTCTAAATATTTTTATTTTTTATTAAATTAATAATTCAAGTAAAAATAATTATTTATTAAATAATATATTTAAAAAAATAAAAAAAACATCTTTTTCCAAAAAATAAAAATCAAATCATACCTCGTAACACAATTTAAAAAAAAAATCATATTTTGAAGCACGATTTAAAAAAAAAACTAAAATCGTGGAAGCACAATTTTAGTCAAAATTATTTTTCAACCATGATTTTATGGTGAAATCATCTTTCCGCTTCCGTTTGACCCATTTTATAAAAATTAAAATTTTTTAACCCTTTTAGTAAAATAAAAAAACTTTTAGCCCCTTTCAATAAAATAAAAAAAAGTTAACCCTATTTGGTAAAAAAAAAAAACCTATTAATCGCAAAATATGTGTGTTATAGTTTGTGATGAGAATGAAGAATACGAATATGGTAAGTTGTGATTTTTCTTCAAAAGCTTGTTAAGTGAAAAAACATTTGTTACATAAGCGGACCGGGTCCAGCAAGATTTGGACAGTGGAAACCCTAACTCAAGACTCTAAAAACTTTGTAGCTCCCATCCTCACTCCCATCCCAACCTCTGGAAACCCTAACCTCAGCAGCACGATGCAGATCTTCGTGAAAACCCTAACAGGTAAAACCATCACCCTTGAGGTGGAGTCTTCGGACACTATCGACAATGTTAAGGCCAAGATCCAGGACAAGTAGGGTATTCCGCCGGACCAGCAGCGCCTCATCTTCGCCGGAAAGCAGCTCGAAGACGGCCGCACCCTCGCCGACTATAACATCCAGAAGGATTCCACTCTCCACCTTGTCCTCCGGCTTCGCGGCGGCGCCAAGAAGCGCAAGAAGAAGACCTATACCAAGCCCAAGAAGATCAAGCACAAGCATAAGAAGGTGAAGCTCGCCATCCTCCAGTTCTACAAGGTCGAAGACTCCGGCAAGGTGCAAAGGCTCCGCAAAGAGTGCCCGAACGCTGAGTGCGGCGCCGGAACCTTCATGGCCAACCACTTCGATCGGCACTACTGCGGCAAGTGCGGCCTCACCTATGTCTACCAGAAGGCTGGTGCCTAATTCGTAATGGATTTTGTTATTCTTATCATCATTAGTAGTATATAAAGTTTTGGTTTATGTTTTGTTCCTTTATTGTTGTGATTGTATGGCTGAAACCTTCATGAATACTCTCTTAAATCCCTTCAATATATTATTTTTTCCGGTTCAAACTTGTTTATTGTATTGTTTTGTGTTTTGCTTTTACTCACTTAATGAGGTTGCCATGTTTTGAAGAAATTAAGTTTTTGTTTAATTGAATTGTGTTGGATTATTTGGTATACTAAAAGGAAGGATGAAGCCTGAGTGTGGGTTAACAAATGGGAGGTGTAGATTTTTAGATTTTCAAACAATCTATTTGTGATAGGGGTTTTGTTAATTATGGATGCTCTTGTCTCGGACCTAGTTTACAGAGTTGTGTTTTTGTTGTTTGGATTTTCTGATCCTTGCTAATTGGAGATGTAGGATGTTCTTTTTTTGAGCTAATTCGTGGTGTTCAAATGTGATATTGGTTATTCTAATCAGAACATTGTATATACAATTACGTTAGTTGATTCAATACATGATTTTGCTTAAAAGATTAAACTCCGATACATATGAAGATCTAGTCTAGTATACAAACTCTATTCAATGACAGTCTTTGGTCCAAAGTTGGGAAGTGTTTGTGATTTCTGATCTAACTGCCATTGTGTTCTTTCTTTTGTAGTTTTTTCTTTCTGGCCACCTCTATTGATTGATTGGAAACTTTTTGTAATGGAGGTATCATGTTTGTGCTGTTGGAGTCAAACGTTGTTTGCTTGCTTTTAGTGGAAATTAGGGAAGATATTAGCGTATTTTGAAGATTTTTTGTCTGATTTATTGGATAACTATTTTGATTGTAGGCTGGGTGTGGATTTCCAATTGTTGCGTTTAGCGGTATGGCACATGAAAAAAAAATGAACTTCATTTAGCATATACTTTTAATTTTTTACATAAAATAAATGCTCCGTTTTGAAATTTTTATGGGACACGCTTGGTTCTATTAATATAATGCTTCATGTGATTAGGGGTGTCACACTGTGCCAATTCGGCTCCACAGACTGACTCGGAAATAGTAGAGGTCAATCCAGTTAGCCAGAAATTTCATAACCCAATTTAACCAAGTACAAGTACGGGGATTGAATGTAGACAAACTCTATGGCGTGCCTTATTGGTTATTGGTTATTGGTGAGAGTTTGACTAATGTGATGTGGCTTGCGTACTGGTGAGAGTTTGATTTGTAGTTAATAGGTAGAGAAAAAAAATCAATTAAAATTATTAAATTATTATTAATTATTTTTAAAATTTAAAATGAATAGTGGATTGTAGGTTAACTCACCATAATTCGATTTGAATCCACATAACTCAGTCAAATTTATTTTTAATCCATTATAGACACAAATAAAAAAAATTAAACCTAACCAGGTTTGAACATGTAGTAATCGAGTAAGTCTGGATGATTTAGAACTCATAAAACTCATTTACATGTGATCATGTATAAATGAAAATTATTTATTATATATAATACTAGTAAAATTGTAGATATTATTTTCAAAGATTATCTCTTTTTTTTAACAAAATTTGTTTTCTTCATCCATAATCTTCTAAATATTTATTTTGAATTTCAAGTTTTTTTTTCAATATATTTAAATTATTTTTGAAGTCCTTCTATTTGGAGAAATTAAAATTAACTAAAAAGTTTTTAAAATCTCCCTTGCACTTAAATAAATTAATGACATATTTATTGTTGTTTAATATGATTATATTCTTTTAAATAAAAAAATCTTGATAGATTTTAATCACGATATATTTTAAATTTAATTTAAATTTTCTATCTAATGCCCATTAAATTTACTTATCATTTTTTAGATTATCTAATATTTATTTATAACAAAAATAATTTATTTATTTATTTACCGAATCAAATTATTCTTGTCAACTAATTTTAAAATTCTTTCTAATTAAAATAATCTTAACGGAATATATTTTAAAATAATATTAATATTAAATTTATTTGTTACTAAAAGATATTAGTTCAAATATTTTTTAAAGCTATACTTTAAACTATAAATACCATTATAGTGACTATCACATACACAAATATTTCAATTCAAAAAGTATAGATCCAAGCTAATCGATTGACTTCAGCTACTTTTCCTTCCTGAGGTTTGTTTTTTTTTTCTACTTGTTCATATAATTTTAGGATTATACTAATTTTAGGAGATGAACGATCAACCCAGTTCTTCTACCTCGTATTCATGAAATTATTTTCTTCTATAGAGTCTTCATGAAAATCTTCTTTCTCATATATTTATATCGATTATTCTCAATTATGAAGTCGCTCGTTTTTTATTTTCGGGATTAAATTTTTTATTGTATATTTTTTATAATTTTTTTCTCAATTTTTGAATAGTAAATTTATATTGTTTCTTTCATCATATTAATCTAATTATTGATGTAATTTTTAATATTTTATTAATCTAATTATTAATGTAATTTTTAATATTTTATTTATGTGTATTATTGATATATTATATATAAGATATTAAAATAGATAGTCGAAACAATAGATTAGGTTAAGAAAAAAATTTATAATTTAAATAAAATCAAACAAATTTTTGTTTGACTTATTTAAATTCATGATTTGTTTTATAAAATGATAATTATTTTATTAATAAAATAAAAATAATATTATTTTATTAAAAAATATACATATAATAAATTAATTTAATAATATATTTTATTATATATATATACAAAGAATAATAAATCTTTTAATAATATATTTTGATATATATATATATATATATAATTTTAAAAAACTAATAAATCCTACATAGAATTTTTGTCTGTTTTGTTTTTTTTCTTTTGTTGTTAAATTTTTGAATATTGATTTTAAATTAATTAATAAAAACACTTTAATAACAGTTTATAATATATATTAAAAAATAAAAATAAAAGATGCATTATCTATATTTTTGATAGATTAATTTATTTGTAGAAAATTATGTATATCAATTATTATTTTGGAAATAAAAATGTTAGAACCGATGCTTTAAATTTTATTATTAAGTTTATGAAAAATATTTTTGTTATTATGCAGTAATATGGATGTAAAGTCAAGGAGAATGAGTGAACAAATTGGTGGGAAAACATGCCTGTATTGGCGAGTTGGGAAATGTAACAGAATTCCGTGCAGGTTTTTGCACAGAGAAACATGCTCGCCACATACTTATCAAAGTGCCAATGCCAAACATACTTTTCAGAGTGCCAATGCCAAACGTACATATCAAAGTGCCAATGCAGAGACAATTGCCATAAAAAAAAATCCCATACATCCTCTGAGAATATTCCTAAGCGTGAGTCAAAGACAACTATGGCTACAAAGAGTGGAGATAGAGATGACATAAATGCTGTCAAGGTTTCCAAGAAATCATCTCCGACTATATGCAAATATTGGACCAACAACAACTGTGTGTACGGTGAACAATGCATGAATTTGCATTCATGGTTTCATGGTGAAGGGTTTTCCACGTTAAGAAAACTACATGAACACAAAAAGGTACTTCACTCTAAAATCTCTAAAATTAGAATTTGTTGCGAGTACCTGTTTGATGTATCTTTCGAATAATTGTATTAAAATTTTGGCACCAGGTTATCACCGGCATTACGCTTCCCGTTGGATCGGACAAACTTTATTCTGGCAGCACTGATGGGACTGTTCGGATATGGGATTGCCATACAGGTCAATGTGTTAAATCCATAAATTTGGACACCGAAGTTAACTCTTTGATAAGTGAAGGACCATGGATATTTGTTGGTTTGAAAAATGCTATCAAGGTAAACAAACACTTTTCTGTCCTGTTTGATTTTCATGTATGATAATGTCCTAACTGTAGGAGCATAGTACTTGCAAATTGATTATGTGGATGTGATTGTGGTAAAGGCTTGGCATACTGAAACCAATGCGGAATTTACTCTTGATGGACCTAAAGGACGAGTTGTTTCCATGACTGTTGGCAATGATATCCTTTTCGCCGGAGCAGAGGTAATTTAATTATTCATTCAAAAGTTTGATGTTATCTGAGTCAGATGAAATGATGAATTTTTTCTGAGACATTCATTAATGAATGTATCGTCTAAATTTAAATTTCAGGATGGTGTCATTACTGCTTGGAGAGGAAGCTCTGATGCTAACTCTCCCTTTGAACTGGTTGCCTCACTAACTGGCCACACTAAAGCTGTGGCTTGCTTGACTGTTGGACGCAAGATGTTGTACTCAGGATCCATGGACCATAGCATAAAGGTGTGTTTATTATCCTGTGAGTTTTCTCTGAACTGCAAATTGGATAATTCAATAATCACTGTCATTTTCTCTTCAGGTCTGGGACATGGATACATTACAATGTACAATGACACTCAATGAGCATACTGATGTAGTCACATCCCTTATTTGTTGGGGTGAATTTTTGTTGTCAAGTTCATCTGATGGCACAATCAAGATCTGGGCTTGCATGGAACTGGGGTCTTTGACTGTTGTATATACGCACAATGAACAAATTGTAAGATACTGATCGTTGTAACTTTTGTTTTATCTTGTGTTAACATGTAATTTGGTTGTATCTTCATTTCTAGTAATAATGGTTACACATTTGGTCGTATTCACAGGGCATTGTGTCGCTTTTTGGGATGCCTGATGCAGAAGGAAAGCCAGTATTGTTTTCCTCTTGCAGAGACCATTCTGTTCGAATGTACGAATTACCATCGTAAGTAAACTTTAATTCTGTTTCCTTTTACTTAACATTGATTCTAATGTTTCTGGATTGGTATGTTTTTCCCCGAATGTTGCATCTCCTGACCATGTCGTTTTATATGTTGATATACAGATTTTCAGAGAGGGGTCGTTTATTTGCTAAGCAAGACGTTGCAGCATTTGAATTAGCCCCTGGTGGATTGTTCTTCACCGGAGACGGGAGTGGTTTGTTAAGGGTATGGAAGTGGTCTGATTTATCCAAGGTGGCATCCTCCTGAGATGTTTTTTCTTTTCTATTTTTTGTCCAAAACTACATTTATTGGACAATTTTGTTAATTAATATTATATGTATAAAATGATTCAATTGAAATACTTCAATTAAAAATTATTATTCTATTCATAAATTAAGTTTTTGATGGATCGTGTATATATATATATATATAGTAAATATATTTATTTATCAAAGAAAAATTTTTATTCGATGACTGTAATTTTCTATAACTTTTAAGTAGATAAAAGTATCAAATAATTATATTTTTTTAAATTATAAATTTAGGTAATTTTTTTTAAAATTATATAAATAGGCAACTCATGCATCGAAGTGGAACTTAAAAAAAAAAAAGAGTCATGTTTCCAAACATAATTCTCAATCTTTTTTTAAACTTCACAGTACTAAAATAATGTATGACGATTCCAGTTTTTTTATTATAAGATTTTTTATATATTTTAATAATTTTTATATTATTATTATTATTATTAAATTTATTATAAATAAAATAATAATAGAAATTGGCATCCATAATAAAATATTAATAATATTACTAATAAACAAAATAATTAATATTTTTTATTATTTATCAAATATAATAGTTAACAATAAAAATATTGATAATAATAATTAATAATATTACTAATAATAATTATTATTAACTTCATATATACTGAAGATCAGATTTTGAGAAATGTGGTGTCATAGTTGTATTTAAAAAATGAAATGATAAAAGGTATTTAATGAATATAAAAGCAAGAAAAATATATAAAATTATACGAATATTTGATGAAAATGACGAAAACTTGTATTTTATCAAAATTTGCGTAAATTATTTTAAGAAAGAAAAAACATTTTATGGTTTGTTGTGTGTAAAATCCATGCATAATAGCAATGGAATATTTAAAACTAGATTTTATAATTAAAATATTATAAATTTAATTTTTGTCAAAAATTTATCACGACTCATATTTTTGAAAACAAATATAGTGTTAATTTGAAATTATTATGTTTATTTTGATCATAAATTAATTTTATTAAGAAGATATATATATATATATATATATATATATATATATATATATGACATAATTCAAGAATTATTTCTGAAAAAAAAACAAGCTTACGAATAAGAAGATAATTATTTTAAATGACTATTTTTACTTTACAGATCAAAGATTATATTTTTTTTTGTAGTGTTAGTAATAGGTTTCGTATAATAATCCGCAAAAATAATAAATTCTGGAGATTGAACAATACTATTTCAATAACTAGTGTTTTTTGCTCATAAGCTTTTTATTTTTAAGTAAGATGAAACAAAAGATAAATTGGAAATGTAAATAGTAGGAGATGAAAATTTGTCAAATAAGCGGGCCGGGTATTGCAAACTCTGGGCCAAGGAGCAGTCCAATAAAAAAACCTAACGCATAGGACTATATAAACCCTTCGTAGCTTCACTCCCAATTTTCAAGCACAAACCCTAGCCTCAGGAGCACGATGCAGATCTTCGTGAAAACCCTAACGGGTAAAACCATCACCCTTGAGGTGGAGTCTTCTGACACCATCGACAATGTCAAGGCCAAGATCCAGGACAAGGAGGGTATTCCGCCGGACCAGCAGCGCCTCATCTTCGCCGGAAAGCAGCTGGAGGACGGCCGTACCCTCGCTGACTACAACATCCAGAAGGAGTCCACTCTCCACCTTGTACTCCGTCTTCGCGGCGGCGCCAAGAAGCGCAAGAAGAAGACCTATACCAAGCCCAAGAAGATCAAGCACAAGCATAAGAAGGTGAAGCTCGCCATCCTCCAGTTCTACAAGGTCGACGACTCCGGCAAGGTGCAGAGGCTCCGCAAGGAGTGCCCGAACGCTGAGTGCGGCGCCGGAACCTTCATGGCCAACCACTTCGATCGGCACTACTGCGGCAAGTGCGGCCTCACCTATGTCTACCAGAAGGCTGGTGCCTAATTCGTAATGGATTTTGTTATTCTTATCATCATTAGTAGTATATAAAGTTTTGGTTTATGTTTTGTTCCTTTATTGTTGTGACTGTATGGGTAAAACCTTCATGAATACTCTCTTAATTCGCTTCAATAGATTGTTTTTTCCGGTTCAAACTTGTTTATTGTATTGATTTATGTTTTACTTTTACTCACTTAATGAGGTGTAGTTTTTTAGATTGTCGAACAATCTATTTGTGATAAGTGTTCTGTTAATTGTGGATGGTCATGGCTCGGACCAAGTTTACGGAGTTGTGTGTTTTTGTTGTTTGGATTTTCTGATCCTTGCTATTTAGAGATGTTGGATATCCTATCTTTGAGCTAATTCCAGGTGTTCAAATGTGTGTTTTGTTGGTTATTCTAATCTGAACATTATATATACGATTACGTTAGTTTGATTCAATACATGATTTTGCCTCCAAGATTAAACTCTGATACTTATGAAAATCTAGTTTAGTATACAAACCCTATTCAATGACAGTCTTTGTAGTTTGTGACTTCTGATCTAACTGCCTTTGTGTTTTTTTTTTGTAGTTTTTTCTTTCTGGCCACCTCTATTGATTGATTGTAAACTTTTTGCGATGGAGGTATCGTGTTTGGCTGTTGGAGTTAAACGTTGTTTGGTTGCTTTTAGTTGAAATTAGGGCATATATTAGCGTATTTTGGTAGTTTTATTTGAATCTTTTTTGTCTGGTTTATTGGACTACTATTTTGATTGTAGACTGGGTGTGAATTTCCAAATGTTGCGTTTAGTTGTGTGGCACTTGAAAAAATGCAGTTCCACGGTTGGTTCCATGAATACAATGTCCCTGTGATCATATAATATTTAACTAGGAAATTAGTTATTATGCATAATCATACTAGTAAAATCATACATAGAAAGAGATTTATTTTCGAAGATTATCTCCATTTTGTTTAAAAAAAGTTATTTTTTTCATAAATAATCTTATAAATATTTATTTTGAATTTCAAGATTTTTTTTTCAATATGTATACATTATTTTTGAAGTCCTTCTATTTTGGGAAATTAAAATTAAATAAAAAGTTTTTAAAATCTCCCTTGCACTTAAATAAATTAATGGGATATTTATTGTTGATATATATTATATGATTATATTCTTTTAAAGAAAAAAATCTTGATAGATTTTAACCACGATATATCTTTAACTTAATTTAAAATTTCTAAATTTCTACCCAACATTTATTTATTTATTACTAAAATAATTTATTTATTCAATCAATTTATTCTTGTCAACTAATTTTCTATTTTAAAAATTCTTCTAAACTGTATACAGGTTTATGAAATATATATTTATCCAAAATACGCGTTACGGGATTAATACTACAGATCCAATCTAAGTGGTTGACTTTATAAAGTTGCCCTCTTCAGGTTTGTTTCTTTTACTACTTTATATAATTTTTGGATTATACTAATTTTAGTACTTCATATAATTTTTGGATTATACTAATTTTAGGAAATGAACTATCAAGTTTTTCTACCTCTTCTCCATGAAATTATTTTTATCTGTTTTCGCATGTAAATATATTGACTATTCTGTAGTTACGTTCATTTCCTACTTTGTCATTATTATTTCAGGAATGAATTTTTCATTAAAATATATTTTATAATTTCTTTGGTCTCAATTTTTTTAATAATAATTTTATATTTTAATTATTAATAAACAAATTTAAGGTTTTATTTATATATTTATGATATATTATATTATATAAGTGTATATTTATTAATATATATATATATATATATATATATATATATATATATATAATTGAAATCTTAGGTGGGTTTTCATTGAAAACTTTCAATAACTCAGTTACTTGTATTCAATTTCTTTTTAATTCGTTCCAATTCCAAATCTCACCAACTATTAAAGGCCAACATAAAAAAAGAGTTGTTATCACCTTTAAACGTCAATTATTGGATGATATTTTTACATCCCAATTATTCAATCGATCTCCAGTTATATTAATAAAATAATAAATGTTTTTATTATATTAATAAAATCAGTTGTAAATGAATTATTTGGTCATGAAAAGAGCATTTTTGTTTTATTAAACTATAAAACTGATAAATTTGACCAAGCTATTATAGGTAAATAATGATTTATTTAATTTAACTAATAAAAAAAGCATATTAAGTTAATACGGAAGAAATAATTATTTAATGGAAATGGAAGAATCATAATATGATAAATGATAGAAGTGTTCGGTGGATAAGAAAAATTACATCACACCTTCCTCACAGTAGGTTTCGAAAATATGAAATAATAGATAAATTATAATTTACACCAAAAATAGAAAATAAAAAGTATAAGCATACACCAATTTTTAATGTCAAAAAATAGTCACAGGCACAATTTAAGTGAAATAGACAAAAGTTTTTACTAAAAATAATTAATTGGAACAACATAATTTTTTCTATAATTATCAATAATCAACAAAATACTTTCTTTTCGTCAATAAGATGGATAATAGATAATCCTAATAAGTATCTATCAATATAACAAAAAACTAAATACAAAATAATAGGAATAAAATTAGCTCCTCTCCAAACTAACTTCTTATGATGGATTTACTTTCAATAAATACGTTTTTATGGTGACTTCTTTCTCTATCTCACTAGAGATAACTTCTCTATTATTTGTTTTTGTTCTCTATTTGTCTTAAAGTACTCACTTGTAAATAATGATAATCCTATAATAAATCAGTAACCCATAAAGAAAAATATCTTTATTTTTTTTTAACTTAATCAATATTGACCAAATAAATGGGTGACTCACCTGACAAATCTCCTTCTCATAAATTAATATAGGCTATAGTAACCAAACTTTATTTCTCCTTGCAAATAACAAATTTACTAGTAGGCAAGAATTTTGTTATCGTATCTAAGTCATTCTCATTTGTATGAATCTTCTTTAATAATAATTGTTTCATTTCTAATATATCACATTCAATTATATCATACCTCAATATGTGTTTGACCTTAAATGAAAAGT